ATAGATTACATCTGCCTACAAGAAAATCTGTCACCAAAGTACACCAACATTCGATTAAAGCCATGTCTAAATCCTAGAGGTTATTATATGAAAATTAATTAATCTAACGCTAAACAACTGCTTTCCAAATAATGTAGTTCCGATAGAACACAAAATATAGCAATCCTGGACTTATTCTTTCTGTAGTACATAGTTCGTAACTGTTTTATGCATTTGATTACAGACAGTAAAAACCAGTATTAGTTGGAGTTTAACATTTACGAATGAATGTCGATAGCGCCGTATGTTAAACAAAGAATAGTAGAATGGCATTAAATACACTGCAAACCCGTATTGGGTCAGTAAAGAATAACGAAGTTTCATTTGTTGCCTATATTATTGTAGTGTATTACAATATTACTCCGACATAGTTAAGGCGTTCTGTACCTGTAAATTACGTGATTTATGTATGTATTATTTAAAACATTTTGAACAATAACTCTGATGTTTACACGTCTTATACTAATTATAAAGATAATTAATCTCTTTAAGTTATATTATCTTTTGTATTCATTGAGCTATAGAAATTGTATATACTTAGTCTAATATCATATTATTTTCATTATAAATCCTTTTTCTTTTTATCAGTTTTGCAAATTATGGCCGCTGCAGATTCTAAAAATATAAAATAATAATTAAGATTTACACCGTTTTTTTTTTTGATGCAGCTTTCTTATTAAAGCTCCCATCTTATTTTCTTAATTATTATTTGAAATACGTGATATAACAAATAAACGTTAGTATTGTTTATATAAAAAAAAAAAACATTAATAAATACCTTTAAGGCTCTAAACGTGAATTAAACTGCTTATGATTTATAAAATTTTGGAAAAGTTGTTGAAATTTGTATACCATTATTGGTGGTTGATATACTTTATTATTTATTTTAAACATAGAACATTATTATTTTCTTCCTACGCAAAACAAACAAAATAAAACCAACCATCAATAAAAACAGGTTTCGACTATTAGACACCCAGATTTTTTTTACAACATTAACTCAAGGTTTTTTCATCAGATAACAAGTTTTTTGAAAAGGATATCATGGCATCTTGAATAGTTTGTAATTAATTTTAGGGTGTGAATAATGTAATACGCTGCCTTTGTGATAGCAGATTACAGCAATATGATTTTAGCTTTAATGTATTCAAAGTGCAGTAACTTTGACTGTAAATTTATAAGTCTATTTTTCTTTCTCAGGAAAAAGCTTCTGTGTTGATATCGGAGAAGTTACCTTTTTCTTTCTTTGAGACTTTAAAAAAAAACACTTGTTCTTTTAACTAATTTCTCAACAAAAGTATTTTGTGGTATAGTTATAGTTGGTGTTTTAAGGGGTTTTTTTTCCTTTAGTGCTTTACTGAATTAGTTGTTGCAGACATAAAGAATATCTTTTGGATGTTGTATATGAAACTACTTTAAATCACAAGAAACAAGATACGCAGGAAGTAAAACAATTGTACTCTATGATTGCACATGTTAATACATATATATACATATATATATATTGGAGATACAACAAATGCAATATACTATTGTATTTTAAATGGTAAACAAATTACGCTATCATAAAGGGTATTTTTATATAAGTTCTCAAATTTCTACAAAACACTATAAAACCACACTGTTACTAGTGTAAGTATTCTTTATCTTTCGTTTTATTTATGTTGTGATTAAGAGTCATAGCTCACTTAATGTAGTCTAATAATTTCAATATTCCAGTTTTTGACAGTTCACGAATATTTTTCATATACAAAAGTAGTTTTTGCTAGAAAACTCAGTTCTGTTCTGTTTTGTTTCAGAGATATACAGAATGTTAAGGAGAATATTAACCAAGATATTGGAAGAGCAGAAAGAAGACCTCGAGTCATAGCATCATATGTTTCTTACTTGACCGGCCTAAAAATTAAATAGAAGGTGATCCAATATGAAGATTTGTCTAAAAAAATACTTTCACACTTGACGATGAAATAATGTTTTGCATTATTTTATTTTGTTAATAGTCGCAATTAAACAACATCATTTCAACAATTACAGACCTGCGTTGTTTTTGAAATGGTCGGCCACTGCCTATTAGAGAAACACTTGTAGAAAATATATTGGTAACTATACAATCTACTTATGCAACGCAAGAGTAGAAGACGATGTTTCGAAAGTCCTTTCGTCTTCAGGTCAATTTGTGTTTGTTTTTATTTCAGTTTGTGACTTTGACTTTTGACTTGGTAGGTATTTCCGTTTAGATCATTTGAGACTGAACTCAGGAAGAATTCGGGGTCGGAAAAACCGGGGGTGTTCAGAAAATTGTTTCTTTTCGCCCCAGTCTTATGTGAGAGTTACAGTTAGCGGCTTTGTAAAAAAAGAAGAAAAAAAAAGAAGAAAATATATGAACTGAAGAGTGAGTTAAAACGACAACGGTAATCGTGATTTAAGACTTAATTGGAAGGAAGCTTTAGCAAGCAAAAACGCAAAAACCACAGATGGATAATAAGTTTTTCTTTCATGTTACATTTGACTGGAGAGTATGACATAACCAGTGTGTGGGAATCTACGGATCCAATACCCTTAATTTTGATTTGGGAAGAAAATGGAAATACCCCGAGAACAACCCACTTTCACTACCCGGACGCCGAATAATCTATCCGGATAGTGCCTTAGCTGTGGGGTTAAAAGTGTTGTTCATTTTTAATCTCTGCAAGCTCCTGCAGGCCTTATATAGTATTCAGGTTGATTGAGATGGACGTCACTTGATTGTTCCTGGTTGTTGGAGCAACTGAGTGTGGATTCAACCAATGTTAGCCATAAGTTACTGATTTATTTTCCAAAATTTGTCTGAGTAAATGATTCTAGCTTTGTGTATTTTGTGTCCAGTTGACAGTTCAGAACATACTATGTTGAGTTGCATAAGTAAGTTGTATAGTCATCAATATAATGAGTAGTAGAGCCACGCCAACAATTGTAAACGTCTTTAACGAACGTTTCGGAATTACACATATTCCATTTTCAGCAAATCTATGAAAATAACAAGTTAAACAATCTTTTAAACAATTACTAATATAAAAATACAATGAATAGTATTAGGAAATTATAAAACATTACAACTTAAGAAAGGGGAAAGAGAGAGAGAGCTACTTGAACAAAGACAAGGACGGGAACGTAAGTTAGTAATTTATAATTAGA